AGCAGTGTCTCCTGACCAGGCAGGGCACAAAACAGATCCAGAGTAATGTGAGTGAACCAAAATTAGCCTCTTTACAAGCTCATTAAAGCATAAAGCTTAGTGTCCATTGCCCAGAATATATTGGGCTGTCGGAAAAGTCATGACACATTTTTGCAACGAAAAACAGAAAAAATACGTCATGACTTTTCCGACAACCCAATAACAGGAAGGCTTTTCTCTCTCTCTTGCTCCCTACTTACTCATACTTCCCTTGCCTGCTTTCCACCGTCCCTGTCCTGACAGGCAATAATCAGAGCAGGATCTTGGATGGGTGTCCCTCTCCTTTATTTTCAAGTAACCCAATCAAAGTTCCTGAGCAATCCACTGCAAGCAATTCGAGTGACATTGCAGAATCCTAGGCAGGGAGCAGATTTGTAGCCTGTTAGTCCTGAAGTTGCCCAGCTCCTTTAAGTTTTCATGGTAAAATATTACTATCCTTAGGAGCATGGAGACAGTTGCTGACTCGAATTGTTGCTTCCTAGTAGGAAGCAGACAAGTGAGTAAGTAATATAATTGGGCTTTTAAAAAACTTTATTTAACAGACCGACTTAGGGGAATAGACTATCTTTAATAACTGTATATTTTTTGCATAGCACTTCTAAATATCCAAGTATTTTCACGTACACTTCTTCATTTAATCATTACCCATGCAGTGGTGCAGGTATTACCACCCCCATTTTGCAGAAGAAGAAACTGAGGCTTAGAGACATAGATAGACCCAGGTCTTCCAACACCATCTAAGTGGTCTGTTTGTTACTCTTCACCTCAGGGCCTCTCTTTGTATTTTTTCCCCCACGTTTATTAGTTAGTATTGTGGGAATTTCCCCAGATTGCCTTGTGGAGGGGTCCCACCCTGGTGATGGGGCAGTATTTAAAAGTTGTGCAATTGACAGTACTTAAGAGTATCAGAGCCAGAGGGCTGTAGAGACTGTTTCCAACCTCCTTATTTACCGTAAGAAAACAGGCCCACAGAGGGGCTCCATCTGCATACATTGCCAGGGCTGGATCCACAAACCCCGTTCATGGCAAACTATGACTAGGTTCAGAGCCTTCTGTCCCTATCCCACAGTCTCACAATCTCTCTCCAGCACAACCTTCAAATCAAAGTAAAGAGGAAAGTTCAAGCCAGGACTTGGCTAGTATCAGTTCCTATCCTGTACTTGTTTGATAAAGTGGAAAGATCCTATATGAAACCATGAAATATTAAGTGGAAGGCAGCTTGGAGATAATCTAGTGTAATCTTTTGGGTTTTGTAGTTGAGAAAAGTGAGCCCAAGAAAGGCAAACTGAGCCCCCTGAGCAGGGACTTAAATCCAGGTCTCCTGGTCCCTGGTTACTGACCCCAGCTTTGTGACCTCAGCTGTGCACCGTATCACATGTTGTTCACCCAGCTTGTTAGAGACAATCCAACATAAAAATTTCTAGACACAGGTACCTGACTCAGCCCTGGCTTTGCCTTGGCAATGGCGATCAGGCATCAGCTGTTGGTTTGGATGATGTGTTCCTGGAGCAACACGGTGAGTGTGAGCCGCCAATTTTGAAGTCTCAGGGAATGTAAAGCATTGAGCCAGTTAAACATCCAAAACTGCACTCTCAGAAACAAGGGTGACTCACCAGAGTTCTTGGGCTATGACTGGGAATGGCATTAGAAGGGCCACAGGGGCTAAAAACCCATGCTTAGAAGCCTCCAGCTTCCTTGCCTCCAGCCCTTTGCTCACAGCTCTTTTCTCCAATCCAGAGCCAACACACACTTCACTCCGAAGTCCAGACCTCCTCCTCCATGAAGCCTTCCTTGACTGTTCAAGCCCAGAGGAGGTCTTTCCTCTCATATCCTGAGAATCTGCTCTATACAATTTGGCACTTCATTTTATACTGTCTTTTACTGCTGCTTCTTAACCATTTTGAGTGTTTGCTTTATAGTCTACCAGATTGCAAATGCTCTGAGGGGAAGAAGTAAGCTTCTTCCTCTGTACCCTACAGTGATCTCAGAGTGTCACCAAAGAGCAGAGACATGTTCAGTCTCACAACTACTCCTCATTTCAAGACTCTTTCCACTTTACCTTGTATTTGTGCACACACGAATGCTTAGTAAAATCCTCACATGTTTCACTGTGGCTTCAGCCTTTTCAAAGACTGAGTTCAGCAGCCAGGGCCTCTGTCAGCCCACACCAAGCCTCTGGGCAAAGCCGAGAAGAGGCAGCCCTTCCTCCAGGCAGATCCAGCCCTGCCAGGCTGCATGGCTGGGCCAGCGGAGAGTGGGCTGGACTTCTGCCCTTCACCTGGGGTCTGGTTCCTCAGGAGGGCAGCAGCAAGCTCTCTCTCCTCCAACCCCCATTCTGACCAGGCAGGCCTTTCTGGGGAAAGCTGACATCAGAGGCTTCCCAGCGTGTTCCCCAGTCCTTTCCCAAACAAAAACAACAAAAACTGCACACCTTCAGTAGCTCCTGGATACTCTTAGCCTGGAGTCTACACTGCTGGCAGGGCACTTGGGGACCTTCTACAGTATGGTCCCAACCTTCCTTTCTTCTACTGAAGGCCCAGAACTCACCATGAGTTGTCCTTCTTCTGTACTTTTGCTTCGCCTCAGCCTAGAGTACCCGTGTCCTACAGATTTTTGCGTCAGGTTTCTGCTCCCCTTACAAACCCCATCACAAAAGTACCTCCTTCATGATGTCTTAGTCAACATAACTGGTCTCCCTGGTGCTTCTTCCCACCCCAGTCCTCCCTGCCTTCCACATTGCTTCAACTTCTATTACCATCCTTTTCCCACATGTTATTAGCATGTCACCCAGGGGGTAGCTGACTTTAAGCCTTCTGTCCACCCAGGCTTATCTGTACTCACCCTGTATCAACCCAGATGTTGAACTCAGCATCACTCTCAGTTCCCCAAGGAATCTACTCACAAACAAATTGGGGGAAATATTGCCTTTACAAATGATTTATTTCACAGGAAGGGTGGAGAGCAGGGACTTCATAGCAACCTCCACCCCCTTCCTCCCAGCAATCTATTTACCAATCTTTGCAAACACTCCCGTTCTCTAAATCCTTGCTTGGCAGCCCTGTTCTGGGAGTTTCTCTCTCATTACTCTTCCTCAGTCTGCTCCCAGCCAAGTCAAGTCTGTGCGGTCTATCTCTGCGTGTCTTCCCCATCCCTCCCATCCAACTGCCTTCCTGTTCTAATAAGCAGAACAACTCCGTGTTGCCCCAGCCCCTACCTGCAAGCATGCATCTCCAAATCCATCATGATACTCAGCTAAATATAGGTGCTCCCTCCATTTCGCCTTCTTAGAAGGAATCAGGAATAGAGGGAGAATGTTTTCCTTGTGACATGGATGTGAATGTGTTTTCCTCCGCAGAGGGTGCAAATTTAGAAGATACATTGTGTCTTCCACACCTGCCCGACCTACCACAGTGAAAATATATCAAGCGAGCCTGTGACCAGCCTTCTTCTCTACCAGGGACAGGGGCAGTTCCAAGCCCTTTCTGTCTCTCGGTTCCTCTTTCTTCCCTAGTCAGGGAAAGTGCCTGAAGACATTAGCAGGAGCATAATAAATAGTTGTGAAATGAATGAGTTGGTGAAAGGCAAACAAGAAAAGATGAAAGAACTTTGAGAGTATCCTCACCAGGATTATTTCAGTCTAGCTGAAGGAAACTTTGACAGCCAACCCAAGGTGACAGAATGAGATGTGAGTGGTGACTGGTAGGATGAAGTGTGAATATAGGGTTCTGGTATTGGCTCTGCCTTCATTGCCATGTGGAACCTTGGGGAAATCTCAAGTTCCTCATCTGTCCCATCAGCCTGCCTGCAAATGGCCCAATATGGACACTGACCATCAAGGTCCTCAGAGCCCTTTGACATTCATGTTTGAGACTTCTTCCCTAAATGCCCAGACACCCAGAGCTCCTTGGCGCCTCTGCATCTGCAGAAAGCTTTTCTTGGCTGCTGTCCTGACCCAGGGACCTTCACTGCCTGCTGGTAGAAAAGAATTCTCAGCTGTTGGAAAGTGGTAAACTCCACATATTTTACAGATGAGAGTCCAAACTCCCAATGACTCTAAATGTGGTGTGAAATGGACAGAAGTCATCCTGCTGGTGTGACATGCCTGAGACAGTGTCACCACCACCACCACTGTCCCATGCAGACATGCAAGTCACAGGAAGAAAAAAAGCAACAAGTCATTGGTGCCTTGGCCAATGCTGGTCCTCATCCCTTACTGCCTTCCCCCACACTTCAGCACCTTTTCTGGGCTTGTCTACTTTTTTAAAATAAGAAATGGCCCATTTAGTGCCGGAAAACAGTCCATGGTCATCTAAATACAAATGAGAAGAGAATTAACAACCCCCAGTCCTGAGACCTTACCAGGCCATCAGAGCCCAGCTCTGGTGGACTGCGAAGGATGGTCCCTACCATACCTGAGGAGATGTTTTCAAATTGAACAGCCAGCCCCACCAATCCACCCGCCACCAGGGTCAGAGCTGTCAGAAATATGCCCCTGGACAGGGTCAATGATTTAGAGTCTACAGACATGGAGTTCCTGGAAAACGGAGAGAACGTCTTGATTTTTTATTTTTACTTTCTCTCTAATTGGGTCGAGATATTAAAGCAGCCTAGATCTGTTTGAGATGTGGAAATACCCAGTGGGTATTTTATTTGTCAAACACCTGTCCTCCGTCCCCGGAGTCAGCTGGCCTCTGTCGCCTCCACAGCTACATCTTCTCGGAACCCCTAAGCACCTAATTGCTCCTCCGAAACCAAAGCCCTATCGGTGAGACATGCCAGAGCCAGGCCCGCGCCCAAGTTGCACCAAAGGGGCGCCGGTTCCCACTGAGCCGATCCGCATTCAGGCGTGTGCGTCCGAGCGCGCGCGCGTGTTTGTGTGTGGCGCGTGTGTGTGCACGCGCGCGCGCGCGCGCGTGTGTCTGGCGGGGGCGGGCTCTGAGCCCGGGGGCAGGGCTCCGCGCTGAGAGTGGCAGCTGTACTTACCAAGCGGCTACGCGCAGGGAGCCGCAGTGCCGTAGTAGCGGGCCTCGGACAAGGACTGCTTTGGAGCGGCGGATACCGGAGCAGGCAGAAGACCCCCGGCGCTGCCTAAGCCCAGCCTGACCGCCCGATCTCCGCGGCGCCGCCACTGGTATCCCCTCCCCAAGAGGGCTGCGCGGGCGGGAAGACGCCCAGACGCCGACTTCGGTCTTTTTTCTGTCTCTCAGTTCCTTTTTCCTCCCAAGTAAGGGAATAAGCCCCGAGGAAGGAGCGCTCCGAGGAACCGCGCAACCAAGTGTTGCCTGGTGAGAGGTAAGACAGTGGCTGGCGCGGCGGAGGGGGGCTCGGGCTTCGGGGCGCGGGCTGCCGCGACTTGGGAAAGGAGGGCAAAGCGGGAGCCGGTCCCGTGGCCAGGGGAAGGAGCTGCTGGAGCCAAGGCCACTGCGCTCACCCCGATGGTTACAACAGCCCCAAAGCCCGTGCAGGAGGAGATCCCCCGCTGGTAAGATGAGAGCACAGGGAGCGGTACAGGTGGGACACCAGCTCCCTCTTGGATTGGAAGCACCTTCCAAACCTCAAAGGTGTGTAGGCGGGAGGTGGCCTTGCTCCAGGCAGGTCGCTGAAGCAACTGGTCACATTTTCCCCCCTTCTACACTTACCATGGCTCCTTGGTATCCAGTTCGCGCTCCAGGGTACACAGGGCGGCAAGGAGTGGGGCACACTTTCCCTAACGTCTGGCAGCTAAAGCCTCTGACGGTCCCGCAGCGTTTCAGGACTTTGAGGCACTCCGCAAAGCTCTTGGGCTAGGGGATCTTCAAGGGAAGCTGAAGGGAACACGGACACCTAGGGAAGCGGAGAACCATCAGCGAGAGAATGTAAAGCTGACTTGTTTAGACTCCGAGTCACAAGGTGTGTGTCCGTGTGTCTGTGTGTGTGTGTGCGTGTGTGTCTTGAGGGGCGCACATCTAGTATCACCTGTGGGGCTTTGAAAACTCCACTGGTGCACCTCACCCTGCATATTGAGGTTTTCTTCCTCTGGACGAGTGGACTAAAATTTGGGGAGAGGGCTGTGGAGTTCGAAAAGCCCTACAGGTGATTCTCATGCGGCGCCCCCATCCCCGCCATCACTGCAGTGGAAATCAGGGGACCGGAGCGAGAAGGCTTCTCCCAGATGTGAGCGATCCAGCCAAGGAACTCAGAGTGGCGGGCAAGACCCCTCCAGCACCCTCCCCCACCTTCTCCCACCCCTCCAGGCAAGAGGGTCTGCGGCAGCGCGAGGTGTTTTGTAGCTGCGCCGCAGTGGCGCGCGAAAGAGCAGCGAACCCGCGGGCGCGCTCGCAAGCAGGCGCCGCGAGGTTGTCTCTTCTGGCTTCATTAACATACAATGACCTCGCTGTCGGGAGGAGGGCCCAGGAGGGCTGTTTGTTATTCTTTCATTTCGGGCGCTTGGGGGAATGCACCTTGGGTCTGCAGGTGTGGACTAGGGGGAGTCGATGTGGGGCAGCGGCCAGGACACAGGGCTGGGAACTGCCCCTCGGGTTCCAACGCGGGGGACGACTTCGTTATTTCGGTGCCTGGGATTTTTTGTGTAAAATACAGCCCTCAGAGACACTTGCTGCAGCACCCGGCACCCTCGTTGTCAATGAAGGACATAAGATCATGTGTGTTTAGACCACACACACACACACACACACACACACACACACACACACACTCCCCTACCTTTGTGCTTTAGGACCCTCTCCTTCCAGGGATACGTCCTAACGTGGGGAGGGACTTCGTCGTTTGTCGTGTTGAAAGGGGGCTGTATTTGCCAGAGATCCCGTTCCTAATATAAATTATACTCGTTAAATAAAAGCGGCTGCAATTAAGCTAACTTTACTGTTGTTCCCCTGTTGTACCCCTGATCTACGAGTAAGTCTTTTCTTTGCGAATCTCACTTAACATTTATGTATAGCGCTATAGGCGTTTTTAGAGGTATTTTTATGGGAGGGGTCAAGGGTAGGGAGCAAGTCATGAGTCTTTCCCACCTTACAATTTTATGTCAGTGTTGGTTCAGATCAACCAAGACAAGGGGATAAAATGATAAACATCAGAGCATCTTGGAATATAGACTCTCAGAGATAGAAGAAAGTACTAAAGACATGTTTCCCACCTCACTCCTGTCCCCCCCATACACCCAACTCTCCGCAGAGCACCTTCAACAACTGGTGGAGGATCCCGCCAGCCGGGTACTCCCGAAGGTCCCGGCCCAGCACACGTGCGACTCTGCCCGGGGAAGAACCCATAAAGCAGTGTCTCTACCCTCTCCAGCCCATCTTTAGGGGAAGTGTCTACCCCTAGCCCCTCCCTTGGAAGGGAAGGGGGACGAGAGAAGCGCCGTTTTTGTTGTGGTAAAACTTTTTTTTAAAAAAAATATCATGTTGTATTATGTCATTATGATATACTGTTAGTATAAAATAATTCATGGTAAATGCAGAAAATTTGTGAAGTTGTAAAGTGTGCAAAGAATCAAACAAAGCACCCGCAATTCAACCACCCAGATTCCCACTGTTAATATATTAGCCTATTTTTTTCCACCTGTTTTCATGCCTTGAAATCCACAGTGGGTAGATAACTGGCATTTATTGGGTACTTAAAAACTTGTACTTTGCAGGTGTTAAGTATTATACTCACTGTGTCATTTAATTCTCAGACGTCTTTCTGAGGCAAGTATTATGTACGTGTTATCAACCCCACAGAGTTCAGGTGACTTGCCCAAGTCTCACAGCTAGCAGAGCCAGCATTCAAACCTAGGCTGCCTGACTCCTGGGTGCTTGCTTAGCCTCTGTAACTATTTTTATCCTAATTAGTGTTGCAGCAAAAGTTTTCGTGGACATCATTTTCACGGCTGCATATTATTACACTGTTAGTCATTTAAGTTGTTTCCTGTCTTTAGCAACTCATATAACTCTGCGCAACATACCTGGGCAAAGTCTTTACTGCACACATTTCCAAATACTTCCTTTGGATAGATTCCCAGAAGTAGAAGCACTGGACCAAAGGGCATGAATGTTTTAAGGCTCCTGATATATCTAACAACCTGCTTTTCTGAAAGGCTGCACCAATTCACACTTCCATCCAGCAGAGGCAACTCTGCCACAGTCAAAGCAGATAATCTCTAGGGACTCACATAGACCAGGGCCTCGCACAACCAAGCCAGACCACATGAGCATCCCCCTGGCCTCATGGGGGAGTCACACCTATTATCCTGCTTTTTACACACAAGTATGATTATAGAAACCATACACTATAAAGCTGTACCTGATTTTATGTAAGTGTGTGTCAGTTGGAGAATTCTCTGGCTAGATGTCACACATTAACTTTGAACAAATCAGACTACTGTGTAAAATATGTAAATGGGCATAAGATCCCCTTTCTCCACACAAGTAATTAGAACAACTCTTGCTCCTATGAATGTGCATCACTATCATAGCCAGATGCAGCCAGCCCAACCAATCAGTAATGACTTCTTCGCAGACTGGCCATATTCACAGAGCTGTTGGTTTACACCAAGTATGTATCTGAATTCCACAACCAAAGCACAGTGGGAGTTGATGTCACATTATGTATAACAGAGTTCACCAGCCCCCTGCCTCCAAATCACTCATGATTAGTAACTACTAATAAAACAATAAAAATAAGGTGATACACATCATCAAAAAAACGTCCTCATGTGAAGAAAATGTGGCCACAGAAGAGAAATTGAATTAAGTAATACAGAAAGACACAAAGGGGAAATTTTCAAAGAAAACAAATTGGCTCTAGCAATGTTTTCCCTGGTGTACCTCATAACCACCTCTGCCACCAGCAGTGGGCTTAGTGGCCATAGAATATAATCTGTTGTAAATGGAATAAATATCCATTGAGCCCCCACTATGAGATCTACTTATTCAAGACTGCTCTGGTCTTAAAATGTCCTTCTGGGAAACCCCCCTGACTGCTCACCTGGGTTAGAGACCTTTCTCTGCTGCACTGACAGCACCTGTGTGTACATTTACCTCACTATAGTAAAACCACTTATCTGTATACCCCACTAACCTGTGAACTCTCTGAAGGTACAGCTGGCACTGTACCCCCAGCACCTGAGATAGTACTTATGTACAGTAGACAATTAAATGTGATGAATGAAAACATAAGAGAATCTTCTAGATACTATTTTGGGTGCTTTGTGTGCATTTCTCATTTGCTGCATCTTTATTCTGCTCAGACTGGTCAGTCTCAGAAATATACCTGAAATGGGTCTGGAGCTGTGCTATCTACTTCCACATGGGACTGTTTCCATTTTCATTTGATTCATTAAAACTAAATAAAATGTAAAATTTAGTTCCTCAGTTATACCAGTCACAGTGCCCACATTTAGCTTCTGGCTACCATATTGGAGAATACACATTTGGAACATTTCCATCATTGTAGAAAGTTCAACTGGACAGTGCTGGTTAAATTAATTGTAAGTTTGGTGTAAACAGGGGGTGTGAATTTTCTTCTCCATTGTATCCTCTGCACCCTGCCCAGTGCCTGGCCTACAGAGCAGGAGGGGCAGAAAGAAAGAGGAGGGTTGGTGGTAATAAAAGGAGTACTAACATTAGCTATACCATTTATTAAGCACCTATTTTGTGCCCCACATTGTGCTACATTTTGTACATGCATTGTCTCACTTAATATTCACATCCCTATGAGCCTGGTATTAGCCCTGTTTCATAAACAAGAAAACTGAGTCTCAGAAAGTTTTAAGTAAATGGTCACAAAGCTAGTAGGAGAGGCTGAGTTTACCTCAGGCCCTGTGATTTCAAAGCCGATTCTCTTAGGCCTTTTCTTTTCCTACCTCAATAAGCATTATGTGTGGTAATGTAAATATGAAATGCCATCATCTTTGGCTTCCCAGGAAGTTAGAGGAATGGTACTTTTGGAGGCTTCCCAAGGGAAAGAATTGGTATAATTTGCAAACATTAATGGCATTTCAAGAGTGTAAAATTTTGCTTAGAGGTTCAAGAGGCCTCATGCCTGGATGGGTGAGGTAGGGAGAAAACCCACTTATAGTGTGACCTAACCAGAGGGCCAAAACCTAGCAGGACAGGTCTGCCAACAACCGCCATCCATACTTCTTCTCAAGGAAGCCTGCCATCAGCTCCCGAGAGAAATACTGTCTTGGTCAGGATCTCCCAGCCAATTAATGGCATAACCTGGCTCCCCACTCCCTGGCCAGTGCCTTTCCACTGCTCCATCCTGCCTCATAGGCCATTGATTGGCTCCAGTGTCCTCACTATCATTAT